GTGAGTACCCAGAAACTCATAAGATAGTGATTACTTTCTCACGAATGGTATGTAGTGTGAATATTTTATTATGCTTAGCATTTAGTGTGAGTACCCTCCCATAACTGGTATATAGTGTAACAGCAATAAAAGCTACAATGAGAAGATACTGGTCTATCAAAAAAAAAAAAAAATCTGAAAATGAAGATGCATAAAGCACTTGCATTCACGAATACTAATTTCTTCTGGATCATGATTGATGAATATGGTTTGGCCATCATCAAAGACATAACAGATGTTATAGTTAAGGTAAGAATATTCTTGTTACAGGTGATTTTAACATTAATTAATGGACATGACTTCTGGTAATGGTGAAAGGAAGAGGAGACTGGGGGTGTGTTTTTCAAGGACTGGGATTGATGGTATATTTAACAGAATGTCAAATTAAATGCTGGTAATGGGAGTAACCCTTGTATTTGTCTCAGCACTGGAGGATATGATGTTGGGAAGCATTGGAGAGAGGGGCTGCTTACCAGGTATTAGGCACCAACATAATTACATAAAGGAAAGGGAAGGATTAATTTACAGACTCACAGACTGGAATGCCAGAAATTACTAGGCCTTGTCTTATTTGGATATTTGGCCAAGGAAAAAGCGTCTTCAATGAATTGAATATCTAGAGCCACTGGTATTAACTGCTGGCTGGTCAAGTATTATAAGTATTATTTACTGATATCTAGGGCCACCTGTGCACCTGAAAACACTAATTTCCTGGAATTAGATGAATTTAACTAAGGGATGGCAGCATTTGCTAGGTCAGCAGAGGGACCTGTTACTGTAGTGCAATGGACCTTAAACGTTAAATTAGTTAAGGGTGAGGGTGTTCGTAGGAATTAAAGGCATTTAGTACTTTAGCTTTAGCTATTAAAGGTAAACAAAACTGTGACACCGTGGATTTTAAAAACTAACAGCTATCAAGGAAAAAAAACTGTCGGTTAATATCTAGTAAGGTAATTGAAAATTAAAAAATTCAGGAACGCTGAATAATAATAATAATAATAAAAATAACGAAAATAATAGAAAAATAGAAGAGGAACAGGGAGAAGACGCAGAAAAAAAAACATTCTTTGTATAATACACGTAGTGACAGTGCTAGAAATTAAATAAACGACACTAGATCAGTTACATATACAGGAAATATTGACGGTGTTTTAATAACTGACAAGGTTGGTAGAGCAGTCGTATATATATGATAGAACCCGAGTTGATTTAAGAAAAAAACAGTAATATTGAAAGAAGAGTACAAAATTCTGATAATTTTAGAAATATAAAATCGATTTTAGAAAATAAGATAGGACCCAAAAAACAGAGATTGCAGTCAAGACAGTGGAACACTGCGGCGATATCAAAAAGGCGTCAAGACACGAAAGTGTAGTAATCCTGGAATATTTTAATGTGAGTCAAGTTGACTAGAAATCCTCAGAAGGATATAAGAAAATTATCCAATACTAAGAGGTTTCCGACATCGCTTCCTGAAGGAGTTGGTGAAAACTAATTAAATCTAATAACCTCAAACATGATTGGTAAATTAGAACTCACTGACCATGTTCGGGTAAATAAAACCTCAGACCATGTGTTCTGGTAAATTAGAACCCTCACTGACATGTTCTGGTTAAATTAGATAACCTCAACTGACCCATGTTCTGGTAAATAAGAAACCTTACTGACCATGTTCTGGTAAATTAGAAACCTCACTGACCATGTTCTGGTAAATTAGAAACCTCACTGACCATGTTCTGGTAAATTAGAAACCTCACTGACCATGTTCTGGTAAATTAGAAACCTCACTGACCATGTTCTGGTAAATTAGAACCCTCACTGACCATGTTCTGGTAAATTAGAAACCTCACTGACCATGTTCTGGTAAATTAGAAACCTCACTGACCATGTTCTGGTAAATTAGAAACCTCACTGACCATGTTCTGTTAAATTAGAAACCTCGCTGACTATGTTCTGGTAAATTAGAACCCTCACTGACCATGTTCTGGTAAATTAGAACCCGCACTGACCATGTTCTGGTAAATTAGAACCCTCAGTGACCATGTTCTGGTAAATTAAAACCCTCAGTGACCATGTTCTGGTAAATTAAAACCCTCAGTGACCATGTTCTGGTAAATTAGAACCCTCACTGACCATGTTCTGGTAAATTAGAACCCTCACTGACCATGTTCTGGTAAATTAGAACCCTCAGTGACCATGTTCTGGTAAATTAGAACCCTCAGTGACCATGTTCTGTAAATTAAACCATCATGACCATGTTCTGGTAAATTAGAACCCTCACTGACCATGTTCTGGTAAATTAGAACCCTCATGGACCATGTTTGGTAAATTAGAACCCTCAATTTGGAAAACCTCATGACATGTTCTGTAAATTAGAACCCTCACTGACCATGTTGTAAATTAAACCTCACTGCTGTCTGTAAATTAGAACCCTCACTGGCCATGTTCTGGTAAATTAGAACCCTCAGTGGCCATGTTCTGATAAATTAGAACCCTCACTGACCATGTTCTGGTAAATTAGAACCATCATTGACCATGTTCTGGCAAATTATAACCCTCAGTGACCATGTTCTGGTAAATTAGAACCCTCAGTGACCATGTTCTGGTAAATTAGAACCCTCAGTGACCATGTTCTGGTAAATTAGAACCCTCAGTGACCATGTTCTGGTAAATTAGAAGCCTCATTATGTTCTGGTAAATTAGAACCCTCAGTGACCATGTTCTGGTAAATTAGAACCCTCAGTGACCATGTTCTGGTAAATTAGAACCCTCAGTGACCATGTTCTGGTAAATTAGAACCCTCACTGACCATATTCTGGTAAATTAGAACCCTCAGTGACCATGTTCTGGTAAATTAGAACCCTCACTGACCATGTTCTGGCAAATTAGATCCCTCACTGACCATGTTCTGGTAAATGAGAATCCTCACTGACCATGTTCTGGTAAATTAGAACCCTCACTGACCATGTTCTGGTAAATTAGAACCCTCACTGACCATGTTCTGGTAAATTAAAACCCTCAGTGGCCATGTTCTGGTAAACTAGAACCCTCAGTGACCATGTTCTGGTAAATTAGAACCCTCAGTGACCATATTCTGGTAAATTAGAACCCTCACTGAACATGTTCTGGTAAATCAGAACCCTCACTGACCATGCTCTGGTAAATTAGAACCCTCACTGACCATGTTCTGGTAAATTAGAACCCTCACTGACCATATTCTGGTAAATTTGAACCCTCAGTGACCATATTCTGGTAAATTAGAGCCCTCACTGAACATGTTCTGGTAAATTAGAACCCTCAGTGACCATATTCTGGTAAATTAGAACCCTCAGTGACCATATTCTGGTAAATTAGAACCCTCAGTGACCATATTCTGGTAAATTAGAGCCCTCACTGAACATGTTCTGGTAAATCAGAACCCTCACTGACCATGCTCTGGTAAATTAGAACCCTCACTGACCATGCTCTGGTAAATTAGAACCCCTTCAAAATTAACTAGAGACAATTTCGAGTAATTGAACTGATTCTGTCGATTCCAAGTTGTTTTATTTCAGTAAAATTTTAAATTTGCATCTATTCGGACTATACTTATGATTATTATCCTTATTTCTGAATGGAATGTCGATAATATTTTGAAGCAAAACAGAAGACGTCAGCTGGATCGCTAGCGCACTCACCTCACACACTGATCTCCGGAGTTCGAATCTCCTCCGGGACGGCTGGAAAACATTAGGGACGTGTTTCCATAAGACACCTGCTGTCTATGTTCACTCATCAGTAATAATGGGTACCTGGGTGTTAGTGGACTGGTGTGGGTCGCATCCTGGGACAAAACTGACATAATTTGCTCTAAATGCTCAGTATACCAAGCGGTTTTCTATATAGTAGTATGTTATTGATGTCATCTATGGTCTATATACCTTGTACATGTACTTGTAGTAAATGAATATATTATTATAAAAATAAGTATCACTGTTTATTGAACTGAACTGGCAAACTGGGACTTACGCCGAACAAAAGCAGATTGAACCTTTTTTTGTCAGAAAACCACACAAGGTGTGGAAATTTGGGGGCGATAAGATAAGATAAGATAAGATTTCGTTCGGATTTTTAACCCCGGAGGGTTAGCCAACCAGGATAACCCAAGAAAGTCAGTGCGTCATCGAGGACTGTCTAACTTATTTCCATTGGGGTCCTTAATCTTGTCCCCCAGGATGCGACCCACACCAGTCGACTAACACCCAGGTACCTATTTGCTGCTAGGTGAACAGGACAACAGGCGATGACATGACTCATAATAAGCCAACCAATGTTAGATCTAAAAAGTAACTCCTATTTTCTTCATCAACAAAGTTCATTATATGCAAATGTAACTTTATAGGAATTAATCAGAAGAATTAAAGTGAAATATATTTAACGAGAAATAAGAGGAATGACTTTAATAACTTTGGCCATAAAGTGAAGATGCCAATTGTTATTGTACACAAGTGTCGAAAATTTGAAGCCAATTGGACAAGTGTCAAGTTACTTGCAAAATATTCAGGTAACCTCTCAACGGTATCCGTTAAAGGATACCTAATTATCTTTCCACTTATTCCACTCTCTCCATTATTAAAGTCGTCTCTAAATATGATTAATAAAGTCTGGCGTTAAGGCACAACATATCATCAGTAGTGATCCCAAAATGTTTCAAATGGCATGGACACTAATAAAACAAATTATAATGTTTACTCGTATTTCATTAAATATTTTGAGAGAGCCTCGCCCATCAGACAGTTGAAGAAAGTGACCGCGCACTGTAGTGGGGATCAGAATCTCTCTCTTCACAAACAGGTGGAACTTGATCTTATAACTGGTAAGTTCTACAACACACAGGTCAGTGAACAATTTTCTGCTATAATTTTGTGAGTCAGTCTGGTTTTTACTGAGATAATGCTCCTACTCCTCCACAGTTTTAGGTT